TACGTCTCAGCCCCACCGTCCCCTATCTTGGCAGTGAGTTCATGCACTGCAGATTATGTCACACCTCCTGATCTGCTGATGTGATCATCCTCTCACGGTCAAGGTCATGGTGTGTAACACTCACTACCCCTGGGCCAGCCCTGGATCCCAGCTGACCCTTCACTGGGCTTCGAACCTGCAGGTCACACTTACAGGAGGTGATTGTCTGTCATTCTCCCTTGGAACCGCTGGTGGATTTGAACCACCAGAGAGGAGTGGCGTTTGAGTCAGCAGTGGGGCTCCGACGGACTACACGACCAGAACGGCTGTGTCCACGGAGATTAAGACAGCAGGGATGAAAGCGGAAGTGTGACTTACAGGAGAACTGAGTTGAAGCAGGGCGGTGGGGGCTCAGAACCTGGGGTCCACGGAGACACCTTATAAAAGCAGAAGGAGGAGCGAGGCAGAGGAGAGATGTGAATATGGCAGCAGGGCCGGAGTTCTCCTTGGGGCAGGGCTGGGGGCATCCCTGACGAGTGCTGCAGGGGGCAGACTGCAGGTGTTGAGGGGCAGCCCCAGGGCCCTTCTGTGACCAGCCTCCCACAGAGGGACCTGTGAGTGACCACACCTGGCCGCAGAGGACCTATTGTGGGCAGGGCCGTTAGCTCAGTGGCTGGGGCTGAAGGAACATGGAGGAGGTGAGGACCACTGGGGCGAGGGGACACGGACATGCCAGTTAGGGTGGTGGGGAGGACTTTTACGTTGGAGGACAGTAACCTCCAGAGCTCACAGGGGTCCTCAGGGGGGGAGGCATGTCTGATTCGTGCTAGTGGGGTGTATGGAGCGAGCAGAGGCAGAAGACCATTGGAGGGGGTCATCATAGAGATGTGGGATGCCTCAGAACACAGCAGTAGCACGGGGGTGTGGAGACGTGCTGAGGTCCTGAGGGTGGGTGCTGCTGGCAGGAGGGCTGTGAGGTGCAGATGGAGGGGGACCCGGGGACCCCAGGACCTCTGCGATGAGGTGCTTCAAGAACAGAGGTGCCCTACCTGAGGAGGGGAAGAGGCTGGGACCAGGGGTGGGGCGTCAGGGCCAGAGGCTGGGACATGTTGCGTCCACGAGGGGCCATCAAGTGAACATCTCAGACCTCAATCCCTAATTGTCGCTAATAAGGATAATACTGTGAATTGTAAAGACCAAATGGGGTCTAATTACAGTCCATTAAACACTGTGGATTTATGGCAGTTCCAGACAGGAAGGCAGCTAAGCCCGCTAGCAAGGAATATTCCTGGTGCGTCCCACTCGTGCATGAAGACAGAACGCCTCACAGTTCAGTGTATGAGTTCAGCAGTCGGGAAGCGTGACTCAACTGAAGCTCCTTCAGTTAAACTAAAGCACCAGGACGTCTGCTTCCAGTTCCTCGTGAAGGGTACCCGGCCAGCGGTCAGCGGCACACCGTGGTGTGGACTCGGCCTCGTGGTGGCTTAGGACTGCATTGCCATTCATTCATTCTCACTGGCCCTGGACTTGATTATGGTCAGTTTACCTGCTAGGGGACATCCTCCCCTGACCGCCCCCCCTCCACAGCCAGGTCCAAGCTTAACCAGCTGTCGGGGTGTGTGTTTAAAAGGCAGATAACAAAGAAAAGATTACATAAGAATGAAAGAGGACCAGAATGGAGGAAAGGAGGTACATCACCAAGGATGTCTGTATGACAGAGAGGCCGGGCCTGAGGAAGGACAGTGGCCAAGTGACCAGGGCAGAGCGGAGCCACGGGTAGGAAGAGCTACTAGGAAAACAGTCACCCCAGGAGGGAGACTACGGCAGCGGCCAGTAGGAAAGTTGGGGTGTCCAGCCTGGGCGGCATGGAGCCTTTTCCCTCATGCTCTTCAGTGGCCGCTCCGACAGTCGCACTTGAAGTGATATTTGGGTCTGGTGACTAGAAGCAGGGCCACCGTCCCTGCACCCCACGGTGCTCTGGGTGGCCCTCCCAGCAAAGAATTCTCTGGCCCAGTCTGTCGAGTGCTGAGGTTAAGAAAGCTCGTGTCGTCTAAATGTTCAAAAGGGGACGGGGCAGAAGAAGGGGAAATCACTGGAGGGTGAGGTGTTGGGAGGTGGGGCTGGGAGAAAGAACGGGAAATGGTCACTGGGGACTTGAAAAGATGGGGTGATGATAGTCATAGAGCCGTGGTAAATAATTACATAAAAATAATACCTACAAATAATTGTCTAAAACACAAGGTTCATTAATGAAACACAGTGTATATGAGTGATTGTCTAAAACACAAAGTGTATTTATCTAAAAAAACCTGCATGAGCCCAGTATCAGTTTAAGTTCCTGATTCTCTGACTATGTGCTTTGTTGTTGTTGTTGTTGTTAAGTGCCGTCAAGTCATAAACAACTCATAGCGACCCTGTGAATGAAAGGCCTGAGCACTGTTCATAGGGTTTCTGGAGGCAAACTGTTTCAGAAGTGATGTCACTCCTGCTTCCAAGCTTGTTTTAATCGGGAAGCTCCACCAAATACTGTCCACCATGGTGACCGTTATCACATCTGACACATCAGTGGCACAGTGTTTAGCATCTCAGCCACCACAAGTTATCTCTGTACAGCAAGTGGACAGACCAGTGCCCACAGAGGCCCAGAGTGGAGTCATCTAAAAACAACCTGGCCACCTCCCCTCCCCCTTTGGGGATTTTTTTTCCCTTCTTCTTTTTTTTTTTTTTTTAAATTTAGGTTGTTTATTTTTCATTTCAATGAACATCTACAGAGATTTTGGGATTCCATTCATTCATTGTTGCACCCTTCTCCCTGCACAAACCCCTCCCCCCTCCCACCCCCCATTTGCTCCTCTCCTTGAAAAGCAAAAGAAAAACTCCCTCATTGGTACACAACAATCCCCCCCTGCACCTCCCCAAACCCCACTCCCTACCCCCAAATATAATCCACTCTGCAACCCTCATTGCATACTCCTACGATAAAAATAATGCCCTAAAATATAATACTTTTAGACTATTCTCTCCCCCATAGACTTCAATGCCGTAAACATATTTCATCCAGTTTTTCTCAGCCACCGCCTGCCTCAAACCCTAGGCCAAGCCTCAAGGGCCTCGCTCCTGGGGGAAAGAGCGGTACTGCACATCAAACGTAAGCCCAAAAAAGCACAGGACCCCACAAACTTGAGCTTACTGTGTGCCTTCGTCTCCCACAGTTCCTGACGTGTGTGTGTGTGTGTGTGTGTGTGTGTGTGTGTGTGTGTGTGTGAGCGTGCGCGCACACGCCTACAGATAAGTCAACTCACTGGTCAGGTTTCATAAAAAGCTGTCACCATTTGGTTAAGAAGTGTATCTGGAGTACAGATTTCATTATAAATTTCCTTCCTTCATTCTCTCTCTCTGCGAGGCCTAAATACCATCGGTGGGTGTTCACTACTGAAGGCTGTGTGTGTTTCAAGGGGGTCTGTTGGCACCATGGTTAAAGCACACAGCAGCTAACCACAAGGCAAGTGGTTCAAGCCCACTCGCCTCTGTGTTGGGCGGAGAGGAGGCAGTCTCTTCTGGAATGGCCTGAGGGCTTGGAAACCCTGGGGGATGCTTCCACCCTGGTCTTTAGAGTCGCTTAGTCAGAATCAACTTGGTGACAGTGGCTTTAGGGGGTGTTTGTTCAGGGTGTGAACTTCAACAGCAGTCTTTAAAAATGGAGGCTGTATGGCACTTTCTCAAAAAGTTGCAAACAGAGATACCATTTGACCCAGCAATTCTACTACTGGGAATATACCCCAAAGAGACCATAACTGACATCCAAGCAGATATATGCACACCCAAGTTTATTGCAGCTTTGTTCACAATAGCAAAGAGCTGGAAACAACCTACGTGCCTATCAACAAACGAATGGATAGAGAAGCTGTGGTATATTCACACAATGGAATACTATGCTGCATTGAAAAACAAGGAACTCATGAAATATTATACACAATGGGTGACCCTGGAGGACATTATGCTGAGTGAAATATCTTAGTCACAAAAGGACAAATAATGCATAGTGCCACTGTTGTAAAGTGGATTGACATCGGGGTTGGGGGAATCTAAGAAGAAAGGGGATAAATGATGTCTACTGCATTGAAACAGATGAGGGAGAGAAGTGTTTAAAAGGAATAGAAGATTAGGTATCATTTTCATGACAAGATTACAGAAAAAGAAATGAATATTAAAGTTGACTGTGGACTCGGATGGGGGGATTGTATAACAATGAAAGAATTATTTTTTTTCTTAAAAGAGAAAAATGAACTGGCAGGGAGGGGTGACCAGGGAGGAAAATGTGCAACAATGAATGAATGGGGATGCTGTAAAAATATATACGTTACATTAAAAAAATATTTTAAAAAATTGATTTAAAAAAAAAAGAAATGGAGACTATCGGTTGCCAGGGGTTAAGCTTGTGGAGGGGCAGGGGTGGGAGAGGGGCAGGAGAGCTTCCTGGCAGAGAGCTCTGTGTTGTGATTACAAGGGCAGCTGCTTGGTCCTGCGTTTATAAGGCAGCAGAGGTGCACACACGTGGACGGTGTCCCTTTCCTGGTTCGGATATGGTGCTGCTCACCTTGTGTATAATTACGCAAGATTCAGTGACTGGAGGGATGGGGAAAGAATGCATGACCCTTCTCTGTGGTGTGTTCACAGTGTCCTGCACAGCTGTTGTAACTTGAGGACAACAACAATGTCATAATAGGGGGAAAATCCAAAGATTAGCCAAACCAAGAAAGATGTGTACACAGAGAACTCCATTCAGATCTGGAATGGAAAGGGCTGGAAAGACAGTGGTCTTACATGAGTATAGTCTTTAAAGCTGTTGGAAGCACTTATTTTCTAGTAAATGTGACCGATTTGGACCCAATGCAGGTAATAAAGAAGTACTGTTTGTTGCAGAGTTGAAATGGTTCTGTTTCGGCAGCAGCGCTGCCCTGGCCAGCGGTGGCCTAAGCCGTGTCCTGTCGCATGCCGCTTACCTCCGTGTGTTGTTGCAGGGGCAGGCGGACCTGCTGAAGTACGCCAAGAACGAGACTTTGGAGAACCTCAAGCAAATCCATTACGCTGCTGTTTCCTGTGGCCTGAACAAGCCGGGCACCGAGAACGCCGACATGCAGAAGCCACGCCGGAGCCTGGAGGCCATTCCCGAGAAAGCCAATGATGAAACTGGAGAATGAAGGAACGCTCTAGAAACCATTGTGGAGGTTATAACTCTAGGACCAAGGGTAGCCCAGTGGAACGTTTGCTTTGCACTCACGAATGGAAACCATAGGTGGGGTTTTAAAGCACAACTGGAATAGCTAATGACGGTCTACAAAGCTGTGAGTGTGTGTAGCCAGCCTGCGTGTGAAGGCAAATAAACTCCTTAACGAGAAGTGCTCTTCCTGGCCGAAATGTGCTGTGTTTGTGCACAGAGACAGCGGAACCCAGTTCTGGGTGACGAGCAGACTGTTTGGTCTAGGTGAGGTGTCAGTCAGACGACTTTCCAACTGAAAGTCACTTCTTCAGATGGAAAGGGATTAGATTGTCCAATTGGTATTTATTGGAGGGCGGGGGGGGGTGTGGCCAGCCTCATCTGTGTGTGGCTACCAGGGTCCCATGGGGCCACCAGGGTCCCAGGTAGCTGCCAGGGTCCCGGGTGGCCGTCAGGGTCCCAGGTGGCCATTGGGGTCCTGGGTGCCAGGGCCCTGGTGGCCGTCGGGGTCCCAGGTGGCCCTCGGGGTCCCAGGTGGCCGTCAGGGTCCCAGGTGGCCGTCGGGGTCCCAGGTGGCCGTCGGGGTCCCAGGTGGCTGTTGGGGGTCCCAGGTGGCCCTCGCAGTTCCAGGTGGCCGTCGGGGTCCCAGGTGGCCCTCGGGGTCCCAGGTGGCCCTCGGGGTCCCAGGTGGCCATCAGGGTCCTGGGTGGCTGCCAGGGTCCCAGGTGGCCGTCGGGGTCCCGGGTGGCCGCTGGGGTCCCGGGTGGCCGCCGGGGTCCCAGGTGGCTGAAGCCTGGCAGTGTGCCTACGGAGCCATAATTGCTGAGGACAATGGAAGGACAGGTCCCCTGTGTCCTGGGGGGTCTGGGAGCATGTGCAATCAGATTGTTCCCCCACCCCCGGCTGACAGCGTGTGTCTGTCACCACAGCAGATGGGCAGCCACGCCGTGGACGAGCAGCCGAGCTGGAAACAACGCACTGTAAATAGTTTTTCATTGTGTGAAGTAGAGTTAACATTAAAAGGATGTTTTATGATACTTCTGCACTAGCCGTACCTGCTTTTAATGAGATCTTTAAAATCTCCAGCTCAAGACTGTCCCGTGTACGCTGCTTGTTGCTGCTATGCTGAGATGCCATCGAGTCCCTTCCAAGTTCCAGCCCCTGTGTCAGGGCAGCTCGGCCCCGTAGAACTTTCTAGGCTGTAATCTTCACAGGCACCACCTCCGTGTCTTCCTCCTGCAGAGCCACTCGAAGGTCATTACCATCTGGTGGGAACCAGCTCGTAGCCGAGCCTCCAATGGGTTTCTGAGGCCACAGACCACGTGGGAGGAGATTACCTGTCTGTCTCCCACAGTGCTGTTGGTAGGTTTGAACCACCAGAGAAGCATAACCTCTAAGCAGGACCCCCTCCCTGCACACACTGTGCCATCTGTCAGCTGTCGTTGGTGTTAACAAGTTGACCACCACTCCCAGAGACCCTGGAAACAGCAGACTTGAACCCTGCCCTATGCTGTGCCAGTCTCACCCTGCTGGACTCGAACCCATTGCTCCAGCTACTGTGTCAGTCCATCTAGTCGAAGGTCTCCCTCTCTCTCCAACCCTCCGTCTCTCAAACATGATGGTCCTCTCCAAGGAATAGTGTGTCCTAGCAACATGCGTAGAGGGTGGGAGATGACGCCTCATTCCCCTTCTCTCTCAGGAGCCCCTGGCTACCTGCACCTTCTCCAAGCCATGTTTATTCTTCGTCAGCCACTGGGTGGGTTCGGATTTCCAGTTCTTTACTCAGCAGCTGAGAGATTAACCACAGTGTCACCAGGAGTCAATGACTTTGGACAGCTTTGTCAAAACTCAGGGAGCTTGTCTGGCTTGGTCGTATTTCCTCTAAGTCACTGGCAGTCTAGTTCCTGGTGGATGGCTTGGTTGTTAAAGGAACCGAGACACCCACCACCATCCCCCTGATGCTTCTGCGTTGACACCCTGGTGGCATGTGTCAAGAAACAGCACCAACAGTGCCTGCCACACCGCCAGAGGGCCGAGCAGATGCCGCTTTCTCCCTGCCAGCTGAGGTTTCAAGCCGGGCTGTTCCTTTTCCAGTGTGTGAAACTCAGTGCTATTTTTGAAGAGATGCTGGCCACTGCTGCAGCCAAATCGCTGCTTTGCCCAAGCCCACGTAGCTTTCCAACCTCAGAAGATTAAACGTGCCCTAAATCTCCCGCCCTATTTCATCGCGTCTGCTTTCTTTTCAGTGATTCAAGTATGTGAGCCACAGAGGCGGGTGGCACCTTTGACTGGATCCCTTATTAGTTATCTCCTTAATTAGGGAGAGGCGCACTCATGTGGATTCCAGCTCTTCCTGGTCAGGCCTCCTAAAGGTCCCATGAGGAAAGAATTCCCGTCATTTGGCTTCTAATGGCGTCCTTATTCTAAGCTACCCGTCTTCATGGCCTTCCTCAGGGGGGGTCATTCTAGACTCTTCCAGGGATAATGGCACAGTTCCTGCACACACCAGCCAATGACTTCGAGTGTTTGCTTGGAAATTGTCTTGACAAGAGAGAAAGAAAAAGAAAATTGACACTAGCAAGAATTAAAAGTAGATTTGTTGCTTTTGTTAAGTGCACTTGAGTTGTAGGTGACTCATAGTGACCCTATGAATGAAAGACCTGGACACTTGTATAACTTTAATCATTTCTCCAAGTTCATAGGGTTTCTGGAGGCAAGCTAATTCAGAAGTGGATGCCACTCCTGTTTGTTTTAATCAGGGAGCTCCACCAAACTCTGTCCACCATGGGTGACTGTTATCACATTTGACACATCAGTGTCACAGTGTTCAGCATCACAGCAACCACGAGTTACCTCTGTACAGCAAATGGCAAAAGCAGGTTTATAGAATGAAAAATAAAATACTGTGTCATGTAGAAGATTGTTAGTCATTTTGAGCATGGCTAGTAAATACTTAGCCATATTCAATTTAAAACCAGAAAATGATAAGGGCACTCTGTTGGCTTGCTGGTACGTAGATGTGCTTCCAACCCAAAGATAGGCAGTTCAAATGCACAAGCTGCTCCATGGGAGAAGGTGAGCATCTCCTCCTGTGCAATTTACAGCCTTTGAAACCCCCTGGAGGGCCAGCTATGAGTCGTAACAACAAACAACAGCAATTCAATTTAAGGTGAAACTATAGATATTCTAGAATATTACAGATGTGAGAATGGTCACCCACGGTGGACAGTGTTTGGTGTAGCTTCCCGATTAAAACAAGCTAGGAAGCAGGAGTGGCATCCACTTCTGAAATGGCTATAAACTTGGAAAAGGATGAAAGTTATACAAGTGTTCAGGTCTTTCGTTCATAGGGTCGCTATGAGTTGTCTACGACTCGACGGCACTTAACAACAATTTTCAGATTATAATGAAATGGGGGACTTGTGACATTTATAGCAGGCATCATGCAAATGTTGATGCCAGCCCCTGACCGGAATGACCGATATACGTGATCTGTAAAGGCTCAGGCTGGGAACCCGTGAACCTTAGAACCAAGCGTGTCCATTGAGCACTGGCTGACTCGAGCTTCTCCAGCTGTGGAAGATACAGGAAAACAAACTGTGTTGTCTAATGTCACCAGCCATTGAGGGGTAGTGTTGGGCTGGGGCCAAGCTGCAGTTCGCTCCTTTCTCCACTGCAAAGTCAACCTTTTGAACCCTCCCTTGAACGCAGTAAGCTGAGCGATGGGGCCAGGCGGGCACGCTGCTTTAAGTGTTGCTCAAAGCACTGCGCGGCTTCTGACTTTGCACTGGGTTGAATCTATGAAGGCCTCGTGAAAATGAAAATCCCAAGGCTGGTTTGTGTGAGCTGTCACAGAGGCTGGGTGGGAGGGTGCCCCAAGGACCTCCGCTCTTTTCACGTGGGATGTGCTTACTTAGGGCGCTGTGAAATCAGCTGATAGGACAATCTGCACACAATTAGGGGGGAAATCATAGTCAGAAGCAACAGGTAAGTAACTAGTACAGCTCTGCAGAAGACACAGAAGAGTTAGATGAAAACACAGAGATTGTGACAAACCCAGCAACACACTGGCAACCTGTAAGTCAAGCCGGGGTTCACATTTCCAGCTGCTGGGTTGATGTCCACTGAGCTAAGTCCTTGGTCATCTGTGACTGTGCCAAGTGCAGCTGCCGCCTCTTTGCACGCTCAGCCCACCTTCTTTAACCCCTGCTGGGCTTCGGTGTGCCTTCCACCTTGGTCTATTTTCTGCAATTAGCATTAGTGGCTTTTCAATAGTAAGAAAGGAGTTCTCTGAACCCAAAATGCGTACCTCCTCCATGTCAGGGCAGGCGTGCCCAGAGGCCAGGGCTTGGGGACAGCGATTTGGGGCTGCTGCCACCTGATCCTGCAGGAGGCTGTTCTCCTTCCCCAGTACGGAGCTGAGACCAGCATGCACTGCGCGGGGCAGTCCGCCAGCCTGCAAACATGCCCGAATGAGATCTTCACCCTTGGACTCAGTGTGTGTTGATGTCCTTTGACTTTGTTAGCTCGTTAATCAATCGTTTAAACAATATGTTAGAAAGGCACATAGTAGCACAGTCGCAGCATAACTCACCTTGCCCCTCCCGCCCCCAGTGAGTAAGGGCACCCACACTGGCCCTGATTGTCAGGCCTTCTCGGTGGTTGCCAGTCTTACCAGACCCTGGCACGAACAGCCTAACATTTCGTCCTGCCACTACTGGTGCTGTCAAGTCAATTTCTGGCTCATGAACCCATGTGGCAGAGACGAGCTGCCCCACAGAGTCTGCATGGCTATCAGCTTTACAGAAGCAGAGTTCTAGATCTTTCCCCTGTGGAGATGCCAGCTGGTTATGACCCATCAAACACCAGGTTAGCGGCTCAGTGCTTCCCCCTCAGGCCAGCAGGACACCTGACCATTCTCCATTACTTGGAAGAATGTTCTGTCTGCCAGTGGGTCTCTTTGTTGAGATGTGTGCAAAGGAC